AACCCTAACGGCATGATTCGAGCCGCCATTCATGGCTTGAACCAGACCTAAGCATCTCGTCTTCGATAGGCTGTCGGAAGACAGACGCCATTCAACCACGGAAATATAATAAAACAAAAATAGGGAGAAGCTCCTACCTTACGGAGTGTGAGAATGGTTTCCGCTTTGAATGCCGAAAAAACGCTGGTTTGAAAGGCAGAGATTCCAAGTTTGTGAAAATCTTTTACTCTCTAAGAAAAAAGGCTATGGTGACATTGCCTAAGAATGACTCGAGGTTTTTATAGCGTATGAATCGGCGCTTGGGTTTCTCGAAATCGAAACGATGTTTGGGCGTCAAAGGTTTCTTACCGTTGATCACGACCACGTGTCACGCATCAGCGGGGAAGAATGAGCATCATGACTGGACAAAGTCAAACCTTCATCTCTTCCATCGAAAAGCCCAAACGACGGCCATTCTCTCTTTCTCAGAGCATTAATTGCGTTTCAAATCCACATTTAATGCTCTGATAAGGGGCGTCGTTCCAACGTATTGCATATTTAATGCCCTGATAAGGCGTACTGTGTCAGCGTATAACGCATTTAATGCATCTGGCTGGCACTTATCACGCACAGGGCACACCTGTCAGCGCAGGGGCTACTTCATTAAATGCACCCATATTAAAAGAACAACAGGTGGCGTCTGACGAAATCAAGTCGTTTGTCCCCTGCAAACAATGAGCATGCGAGGTCGTTCTCGAAAAAAAGAAAAAAAGTGTCATCCCGACCTACTTTCAGATAGGTCAGAATTTCCAGAATTTCCAGGAATCATCTAATTGCGGCATGATTTGTAGTTTCCAAGGTTCGATTCTCAAACCTTAAAAACTAGGGGACTTCTGTTATGCCTGGGAACATAGGGCTGACGTGGCACCCAATTAAGTGTGAAAGGCCAGACCTCGCGAAGAGCCTACTGCCATTCTGACGCAGCTGCTTCGTGTAATCATGGTGGCATTCACAGCTTGCCTTCGTCAGAGTAATGAATACACGTCAGGCCAGCAAGGAGTTGTGATAATCCCGCGTGTCCAATCCCTGCAGCAAATCACGTGAATTGCTCTAAAAGAAGGATTTGCACGGATCATCCCACCAACTTACAAATTCAGTGATTATTACCTCAAGACATCCCACTATAAAATGAGAGCTCCTCTCTCATTAAGGGGATTTGCACATTTTACTCTTGGCAAAAACTCTCTCTCTCTCTCTAGAATAGATAGTCTTTGATACCTTGTATCATCAGTGTAAAGTCAGTCGTCTAAAGCGACCTGACCCTTATCATTAATAAAAACATCAGTGGACGTAGGATTTGCTTCCTTAGCATCCGAACCACTTTAAAACTCCTTCTTCAATGCATTTACTTTCATTTTTCCAAACCATTCATGTGTGTCTTTTGGGGCCAACTCAACATTTCACACGTGCGTTTCGTTGGTGTCAAAATCACGCATCAACAGCATCCAATCTCATTGAATATATGAGTGTTCACCTGAGCTTGAACGACTAAACCTAAGGGCAAAATTATCCCCAACTGAGTTAACGGCAATGACAAATGCTAGTTTTACAAAGACACATACAAATGGGATATACAAAGACAATTCCCACCCTTGATTTTCATGATTTATCTCTTTCTTTCTCATTCTGTTTTTTTTTTTGTTTTGTTTTTTTCTTCTGGATGATGTCACTTTGTAGCCCTCTTTGTATGGGTCTTTGTAAGGATAGCATTTTTCAAGGGCAATACACGGAAATTGTGAAGGACTCACTTATATTTTTTGAAATTTCATGGACTTGGGTGATTTTTAGGCAAAAATTTGGGGATTTTAATAATAAAGTAATAGATATTGTGCTGGCTTGTCACAACTCAAAATTCACAAGTTATTTTTCTGCTAAATTTAATTAATAAGTAACATTAATTCTCATTCGTTAATGTTTAACCCCAAAAAAAGAAAAAAAAAAAACCTTTTGTGGTATAGGAAGAAAACCCTCCTTCAGCTGAATCAGCTCTCCTCAAGGCTCAATCTTTATAGTCAGACTCTACACATTAGATGCTATTAACTATAAATCATATTTAAGTTATTAATCCCATTCCTAGGTCCTGAATTTTTTGTTTCAATTTCTTTTTGAAGGCAACTTTCACTGCAGACCAAGATTAGCGCATGAATTTTAGTAAGATATCATCTATTACAGAACTTCACTAGATGCTTTGTCAAACACAGGGTCCAAGGAACAAGAGTTTTGAGCTTCATTACATTTGTAACACCTTTCTAGATTTATATCATTGGATACTGATCCTAAATACAAATTGAAGGAAGGTAAAATTCCTCTTCCCTGAGTCTGACTAAAGAAACAAGGAAAAATTAACATAAAGGTACATGTACGACAACCAGAAACTCACATGAAAATGCAGCCATATTTTGAGGCCACTGAGTTAAATATCTAATTCTAATGTCAAAAAACATCCTTGTCAATACTCTAGTCGTATAGGCGTATAGCTCAATTCAAAACTAAAATGCACCGGTTAGCATAAAAAGTATATCAATGTCGAATTCCTTCTACTATACATATGTGACACAATTTAAAAAAAGAAAATCTATAGATAAAAAGGATTGTTTTACACTTTGATGATGATTTTATCAAGAAAGAGAAACAGAGAGAGAAGTTTGATGACAACAATCAGCAAATTATATATACTGATGTAAACTTTCATGAGCTAGATTCAGAATGCATGTGTAAGAAACTTCATTGTATATCGAATCTCCAACTTTAATTGCATTGTATGAAAGCAAAACTTTAGGACCTTAATTTGTACTATACTCATATAGTGACGGATTCAACCAGAACCTGTAACATTGTATCCTAACCTCAATTATTTACCAAAAACTCGTTAGCTTTTAACCTCAAAGTTTACCTGCTCCTCCACCAGTTTTCCCGCCAAGAAGAAAAATGCAAGAAATTAACTCCTGACTACTTTTCACTCTCATTTTTTGCACCCTTGTTGTTACCTTGATCACCATTGACGATCTCCTTAGCAACAGTAAGACCAATCTCTGGCATATTGTCGTTGATATCTTGATCACCACCGAGTATCTCCTTAGCAACAGTACGACCAATCTCCGGCATCTTTTTCGAACATTGTCATAGTCAACCAACCGTCACTCCTCACTTGCTCGAAACGAAATCGTGGACGTCCGTTGTCGTCCAACGTAGACAAAGATGTCGTTGGTAAGTCATTTATTGGTGGTATGTTGCTGTTGAGCGTAGACAAAAATGCCGGCGTATCATTTAATTTCATATTCTCTCTCATCATCACTCCAGGCAATCTTGATGAACTTGATATCAAAGACGACTGAGCAGAGCTCACGTCCACCAAGCTCTCAAACCCTAGGTTCTCAGTACACATATTGTACCAGTCGGTACTTCCTTTGGTAGTTCCTGGAGGCCTGAGTTCTCGGACAAAGCTCGTTCTGGCAGCCGCGTCAGTTTGTCGGAGAATGTTGTCAACTCCGGTAGGGAATCCGGTGAGTAAAGATTCAAAAGATCTAGTGTTCTCTGATGGAGCAACGTCTTCCAGGAGTGGTGAGGTATCATTTCGGGGAGGCTAAGGTGGTCGGTTCTCTGAGGTGAAGGAACTGCCCAATTTAGCACCACGCACTCGTGTTCAAAATAAAAATAAGAGTAAACGACATATTACCACCCAAGGTTTGATGAAATCCCAAGTTAGTACCATTGGTTTCATTTATTCCATATTCACACCCTTAAAGTGATGGAAAAACGTTTGATGTAACGGTAAAGGGGTAAATTGGTCATTTTATATGGGCGACGCACGTTAGCAGACCACCGTCTCTAACAGTCCTCCGATGCACATTAGCAGTCATCGTTCCCGATGTTTTTCGCTCTTTTCCAACGATTCTTCTACCCAAAATCACCCTTGTCACCACCATTTGAACCCCTATCCTTCCCTCTACAAAACCATGCCATTCACAACCCCTCATCACTCGCCGATCTCCGGCCACAACAATGAAAAACAGCCGATGAACACGAACTCTCGGCTGGCGAATGACGACGAAACAGTTGCTGGGGACATAGGGGTTTTATAGATTTGGGGACGGTGGTTGCACTGGTGGTATCCAATTGGATTTTCACCGCCGGAATCGACCGGAATCCGGTGAAGAACATCGAAACCCTAAGCCTAACGGTACCGGCGATTGGAAGGGCAAATGAGTTAGGAACCAGAGGGGTTTTGGACGACGGACTATGGAGAAGGTGATGGAGGTGACCAGGGGGTTCGACGTCATCGGAAACAGCCCAGATCGGGCTGTTTCCGGCGAGGGTGTATAGTGACCGGGGGTGTTTTTTATATAATTTGAAAATAAAATGATAAGTTTTGTAATTCTACTAATTTAGGGGTTAAAACATAATTTATTAATTTAGGGTTAAGGGCATTATGGTAATTGCATCCTCTAAACCCTAAAAATTCATAATATTGTTACTTTAAGGGTGAGAATCTAGAATAAATGGAACCAATAGTACTAACTTGGGATTTCGTCAAACCTTGGGTGGTAATATGCCGTTTACTCTAAAAATAAAAACAAAACCTCATTCTAACTATAAATTTTAATGTATAAAGCTCTGTATTTGTTGTTGACTTGTTAACATATGGTTTTTATTATTAACTCAATGTAATTTTATTATTAACTCAATGTAATCCAATAATAAACAAATGCCCAACCTCCAACAGATGGGCTTTGGCAGATCACCACATAGGTCCATTTGAATAAGAATCACATTTAGGATCTTAACAGTATATACTCAAAAGAAAAATAAAAGTAATAGACCTCATATCAATCTCAAGCTTATTAATAAACTTGGTTTGTGGTTGTCTCTAGTCTCTACCTCATCCACTGTCTTTTCCATCAAGTTGATAACTCAGCAAACTGTTCCATTAGATAAGGTACAAACAAGAAGATGCTTAAATTTATCATTAACTTAAAAACATATTTTACATCTATTCCAACAAGTTTAAGTAACAATGAAATGCACAAAAACAAACAACTCTTCCCTCGTTTCAACAAATTCACATCAAACCTCGAGAGTCTACCTTCCCTCTATAAACACTCATCAATTCAGGCACTTCCTCCTTATATTTCATCACAAACCTCTCCAAGTAGCACTTCTCCGCAGGCAGTAACACAGTACTTAACCTTATATCCTTTATCAATCCCTTGGACAACAAAACTTCAATAACTGAACATCTAGGGATAATTCTCTTCTCCATGCTAAAAAACAACACCACCGGACATTCCGCAATCATTCCTGATGGCAACCCCATCTTGTTCACAAAAAAATCCATGCTTCTCATGATTTTCTTCTCTGACAAAATCATACAATGCGGGTGCTTCCTAAATGCTGCTAGAATCATGTCTTCAGACCAACCCCAACTCTTGTACGCCTCAATACACCGTTTCCGTATCGACTTATTACCCTTCCCAGAAATCACATGTACTGCTAACACAAATGTTGTTTTCTGGGTATCAAACCCCATTTCCTTAACCTCTCTCACAGTTTTACAAAACTCTTCATGTCTTTGCATCACAGCCTCTGGAAAATGAGTCAATAACAATGCTATACACTTCTGTGGCACCCCTAGTTCACTCAAAAACCCAACATTAGGTAACAGACTCTTGGAATAATCTTCATGAAAAATCCAAGTTGTGCGCTTTAAAGCAGAAACAATCTTTTCATCGGATAATAAAACACTCCTGAGGAAGTTATAAGAAGGTATAATTTGGTTCTCTAAGCTTCTAGTCAATAGTGTGACGTCAGAAGAAAGTGTTCTAGTAAGATCAGATTGTGAAACACCTATTGAATGAAAAAACTCTAGTTTAGGCAAAAGGGTTTTCTGAGTATCGGCTAAAAGAAGCCGAGGGCGTTTTCTAATAAGCTTAGAGATCTGAGTTTTTGAGAATCCATAATCTCTTAAAAGGGCCAAAACGGCGTCTGGTCTCTCACGGGATCGAAGCTGTAGTTTTTGTGAAGCTGAGATTGAAGCTTCTGGGGACAACCCACATGAGTTTATGAGGTAACTGACAGTGAAAGAGTTTTGTTGTTGTTGTTGTGCTGGCGACGGCTTTGCAGAGATTTCGGCACTGATGATAATGGTTTTATGAGGAGATGAAACGAAATAGGGTTTAAAATTAGCTCTGAAGTTTGTAAGGGTTTTGGGGAAGAGAATACCACCGGGGATTGCTGGATAGACTAATCTTAAACCGCGAAGATTATTGATAAGTGCCATATCCACGAAAATAACGGTTGCCCTGCCCACTTATGTCAATACAAAACCCGCCGTGGTCGAGGCTGTGGATAGTATGCTTTGCTGGGTTTCAAACCCACCGCCTCTGGATGGAGACAATGTTTTTGCTATATGGATAAATACATATAAATAAATGACTACAATTGAGAATTTAGTCTATGAGATGATATATACAATACTTTTGAAAATATTATAATTTAAACATTTTAAATCATAATAATTAACAACCGACTATTCACTCCACTTATATATATTTAAGTTCCTCGCCTCATGCACTGCACTTTTATTGTCTTGATTAAATACAAAACTCACATAACACAGACTTAACATCTACGGCGCACCTACGTTATTATTATATACAAACACTCTTTTAACTAAGATTTATGCTATTACGGATGGTTTCTTTGAGAGCAGATGCTCCAGAGATTTAGGGTCGGTCACAGCAGGACTGCAAGTGAAGTTTTGGCAAACGAGTGCTACCACTTTGTCCGCAGAAAAATTATTCTTCGCCATGACGGCACTGTTATTATTATTTTCTGCCCAAAAATCCATCTCTTCCGTGTCCGTGGGATCTATGTGAATCACCTGCCATAAGTTGCATCAAGAATAATAAGTGAAACAGAGAAACAAATTAGTATAAATGGCAACTATCATTACGCAGACATTTCTACTTACTGTTTTGTTGGGATCATACGAGGCATGAGCCGCAGCAAGCATGTTTTCAAAGTCCACAGAAGCTTTATGGCCAACTAAGACTACGTGCTTCCGCGAAGGAACAGACAGCATATCTGCTGCACAACACATCAAGGGCACTGCCACAGCCGTTTCTTTCAATCTTGATTCAAAAACTGCCTGCAAAACCATGAGAATTGAAGCCAGGTTGTCACACGTGAACCAAAATTGTATTCAACAAGAGTCGATTTTCACATAGCAATAATGTACCAGGACATGCTCTGCATTTTGCCTGTAATGATCAGATTTACTGCCAGCAACCATGGAGGCCAGTCTCATAAGATTAATCACAGAGACTGAGTTCCCTGATGGCTCTGCCCCATCATGGTCTTCTTTTACACGGAGGAGAACTGAAGGATCTTCTCCAGGAGTGTTAAAAAATCCTCCTCCCTCTCTATCAAGAAACAGTTCATCCTGGAAAATTATTTTAAAAGTGAATTGCAAAGCTTCAAGGCAGAAAATTGAAACAAATATTAGAGGAAATATATACACATATAATATATTTTAGTTCTTGCCTGGGTTTTTTGCAATTCAATCGCCCAAACTAGCCAGTATAATCCACCACCAAACTCATATAGATCCAGCAAACTAGATATTAAGAAAGCATAATCATCCAAAAATCCAGGCGCTTTTGATGGACCATTCCTAAAGCTATGGTGCAGCCTCTGAGTTTGTTTATCATAAAGATGCCTTCTAATAAAAGACGCTGCCTTCTCGGCAATTTCCATATACTCCTTGGGCTGCAATTTGAGTGATGCAATTTATGAAGGAACCAACAAACCAATGATGCAAAATACCATAACACTATCACATCAGTCTATTAACTAGGGAGCCTAAAATTCACTGAACTAGAACATCAATAATCCTATAGATGTTGATAACCCAATTGTTTGGGTACTATGTGTGAACAACCCACGAGCAAGCCTGTTAGACATGGTTTGAAATTATTCACTCAAGCATTAGTTTAGAGGGCACTATGATCATGAATGTCTTTAATCAGATAAAATATAAAGTAGACAATTAATCAAAATTATCAGTGTGTCAAACCTCAATATTACGTTAAAATGATGGCTGCTGCAGCAACATTGTCATTTGAAACAAAGTATACATAAAAATCAATTTAATTATTTAAAGTTGCCAGGCAAAGCCAAAGGGGTATAAATCTTACATCACAGCCAACAACAGGGAAGTTGAATAGAGTGCTCTTAGCTTCACTCTTGAGTATTTGTGAAGCTCTTGCAAAAGAAGAAATCACAAGACCGTTCCACGAAACAATTACCTAACAAGCACCTGACCAGTTAATGTGTGCATAACCAGTAAGAGGAAAGCCAAAAAGAATTTGTGGGCCTTTTATCAAATGAGTTCCTAATTTTAACAGATACTACCTCATCTTTGCTTTTAAGGAGCATAAGCAAAGCAAAATACCTTATCATCTAAATGCGGCCTTGGCCGACTAGATCTTACATCAAAAAGTTTTCTTCTGCATTTACCCAGAATATCAAGATACTTTTCAATTGATAGGCCATGTTTTGATGCCAAGGCAGAAGTTTCATTCAGTTCAATTAGCACATTTTTCCCCTTGAATTCATTGTGTGGATCACTCATCCTAGAAAGATCACAATTTCCTGTTGGCTTCATATAATAGTGTTCCTTAAAAAGACTTGCATGCTCTCCAAGGATATCTTCAACCTTAAAGAAGAAAAACCAGGTAGAAAATTCCAGATCAATAGAAGTAACCACAAACTAACAAGAGGACCAACATTACACCAAAAGATAAAAGAGTAAGATTTGGTGTCATCCAATATGTAGATTTGAATTAACAAAAACAAATAAATAAATCAGATAGTAAATAATCCAATTAGGTGAACAAATCGTTTTTCTTGATGTATAATATCAAAAACATAGTATCAAAAATCCTAGTTAAATACTTTCATTATACCCATACTTGTACTCTCGAGCTTTGAGATTTCCCTACAAACTTAAGCTTTTTGGACAAGTGGTAATTAAGTTAGAAAAAACAACCTCTTTGGTGGTCCATACATAGAAGGCTCCTTCCTTTTTACGAGAGGCACCGTCAGATTCAGCGCTATCAGCATCTTCTGCTGAAAAGATCTCACCTTCTGGTCCAATCATGTCTCTTCTCAAATAATCAAGGATATCTCGGGATACATATGAATAGAAAACATCTTTAGTGATGGAAAAAGCATCCAAGTAAACATTAGCAAGTTGCCCTTGATCATACAGCATCTTCTCAAAATGTGGAACTACAGATAAAAGACCACAGCATCAGTTGTTTGCAAAAGATGTGAAAAAGGTACCAGTCTTCAACAAGAACATAAAGAAATATCAAAAATCAAATTGGAAGCTATAAGGAGCCACTTTTCATTTATGGTTGACTCTGTGCCAAACCATCTTAATCAGAAATGAAATAATAATCTTATGAGAAAATCAGTAATTTCTTCAAAAAAATAAAAAACTAACCATGCCAGCGCTCATCCACACTGTATCTGTGAAATCCACCTCCAACATGATCATGAATGCCTCCCTTTGCCATGCATTGCAAGGTAAATAAAACCATTTTTTTAGACTCATTTGCTTCATCCGATTTCCCAGTCTCCTCCAACTTTTTTGAATGATAAAGCATCAATTGAATCTCAACAGGTCTAGGAAACTTGGGGGCAGATCCAAACCCACCAAACCGTGAATCATATGTTCCGGAAAGCTGAAAGAAATAATACTTTAGAAATAGACTGCAGCTTTCGACAATGTAAAAGCTCAAAGAAGTGCAAATGTTGAAAATCATACATTCTCGTTGAGAGAGGAATTATAAAAAGAAAAGAACCATCAAAGTTTCTCTGCACAGGCTTTCTCAAAATTAGACTTGAGAACAAATTTATCCCAATAATTACAATAGTATTTCATATTCTTTCCCCATAACAATAAAAGAGAACATATAGGAGAAAAGAGAGAGTGGGTGCAGCAATTCTTAAGTGCTGTAGTTCTACCAAAGGTGCAGAAATAAGTATGGTGACAGTAGTCACCCATGCAATCATGGAATCTATTGAAACTAAGAAACTGGAATGAATCCTATCAAGCAAATTCTAGGGACTATGAATCACATTAATCCCAGAGGAAACAGAAGCTTTTTCTTGACTTTTCTTTTTGGTGGTAAAAACACCTGAAAAGAATGGATGTAGAATGAACTTTACTTGTTCTGCACATAGGTGCAATGCATTTTGTGGAAGTCCATCTGGCAATTTAGTTGAACTTGCACTTGACGATAATGCTTCCGACAGCTGTTGAATAGCAAAGGCTCCACTCTGAATAAGCTCATCCTTGTTATTATCCCAGGCAATTTTCACCTTTCTGAAAGAGCTCAGTAATATCAGATAGGTAGAGGTGGCATAAAATAATACAGTAATTATAGTTTCTTTTCCTTTTACATAATTTTTTGATGAGTAAATTTTCATATCCAATTTTCAGAGAATAATTGTTTGTGTTGCAAATTGGAAATTTTTGGTCAAGGAATATTCGCCACTATTACCACCATAATAAAGTAGGGAAAAAGGAAAGATAACTTAAGCTTCTTATTTTTCCATGGGAAGGGAACATAATCTAGTTCAAGAGAAAGAATACTCTTACTTAAGAATAGTCTTAAATCCTGGTCTTCCATATTTATCCTCAGGGGGGAAGTAAGTTCCGCCCATCAATGGTTTCAAATCAGGTGAAAGGAAGACACTCAAAGGCCAGCCTCCACCGCTATACAAAGCCTGAACATATGTCATATACACCTGAAATGTTGATGAAATTGAAATTAGAAAATTGCTACTTTCATGAAACTGTGCAACTAAACCAGCACAACAACAGATGTAATCTTTTTTATATTTCCCATTATTTCTGGGAAACCCATAAACTGTGAACATTTGCATAATGCTAAAGATATGTATTTGGTCAAGATAATCGCAGTATTCCAACAGCTTATATGAGGATAAAAAGCCTTTACCTTATCAATGTCTGGTCGTTCTTCTCGATCCACCTGTTGCACTAAAGTGTTAGAACAGAATACAGAAATGTACAGCTACAAGAGTGTTCGCTTCTAATTCTGATAAACACATAAACTAAAATATGAGATACTATTACAAACTACTATAAGTATTCAAGAATCGATCCGTGAACTCACCTTAACGCTAACAAACCAATCATTCAACAATTTTGCCACCTCTTCATTCTCAAAGGACTCCACTTCCATTACATGGCACCTTGTCAATCATTTACACCATACAGTTAGTCGTCATAACTTTGAGTTCACTAGACGTCAAATTAATTTCCAAGAACAGATACGAAATCTAACCAGTGACAGGTACTGTATCCAACTTCAAAGAGATCCAAATAATCAAAATTAGCTACATGTTAGCGCATAATTTTGCAAATTACAAGGTAAAACAAATGAATAGTGAATAAGAAGCAGAGATTTCACTTGATAAGAAGATGGGTACGTTTCTCTTTCTTGCTTCAGCAAAAGCTTCTTCATCCCATGGATACCAATTAACCTGTTGAATTAAAGGAAAAAAGCTTCAAATTAATGATGTACCCATCGTTGAAACATTCTCTATTTAAGCCAGAAAGATAATAAAGCTGGAAAAAAATAAGGAACTTTTTGCTTACAGGATTATGCGCATGTTGAAGGAGATAAGGGCTATGCTCAGTTGCAAGACGGTTAGAATGCTTGTGAGGATCAGAAGTCGATGTGGTAGTTGGAGCAGCCATAGCCAACACTTTGCAGTTGTGAATAGGTCGAGGGTAAATGAAGGAGAAAGGTGAACGAAAAGGTTTAAATGAGTAAGGGAACTTTCTAGGCAACGAGTATAAATAGGTATTTTGAAGGAGAAATGAAGAGCATAGCAGTGTTTTGAGCATAGAATTAGAGGGGTTGTTTGAAAGGAAAGAAGGGGAAGGCGGATTTATAAAGTTACTAACAATGAAGCGGTGTTTGTTATGCACAGTGGAGAAGGAAGATTTTAGAGGAGTTGCCAATGCCATATGTTCGGGGGTTAGCGATAAGTCATTATACGTGAAACGTGGAAGTTTGGCTTAGTTCGTCTCATGTTGACAACTGGCCCAACTTCTATAGTCTACATTTGTGTGGACTAACATTTCTTAAATTAGATCACTTTCAACTTCGCACCTCTAGCACTAAAAATTGTTTAGACTTAAAAACTTATTTTCCTTTTTTTTTTTTTTTTAAATCACCGGACGTCCAAGTCAAATCGATTTGGATACACCTCAACTGATTTTTTAAGATTTTAAAACTATCAACTGATAAAAATTCTAATAATATCTAATAGTAAGGCCTTGCCAAAGCACTTTCCATTCCAATAAAAACCCAAATTAAAGTGTAAGAGAGCTTAAACATGACGTGGCACTAATTAACATTATAATTGAAATTTTATAAACCATTTTGACTTCTGTTCAGACCATCAACAGGTTTTATACAATACAGCCAATTCGTGCATCTTTACAATATGCACAGCATTCGAACAATTTGAACTGCCTCGGAAAGATTGCTGACATGGGGAAGCAACATCCGTGCAGACAACATCAATGCAGCGCAGTTGTAGTTTTCTTCATGGTTAAAAGCAATTCCACCACAGCTTTCGTCCTTTTGTTTCTAGGCACACCCTAATTTTCAAACGAATCTACCAGAGTGCAAAAAATCAGCCAGATGGTGCACCCACAGACTCCGCTAGTTCTTCTAACAGTTCCTTCTGCTCCATAGCAGAACAAGCCTACAAGAGGAAAGAATTTCAGTAGTAAATCATTTCCTCCATAGCATTTCTATGAAGTCTGCTAATTAAATTTCCAAAATTTCTTTGCACGAGTATCTATATATTAAAACCAAAACATGAGAACAAATAAACATTCCAATGACAAGAGAATGGTACCTGAACTGCATTCTCTATATTGCCATCAAGAAACGATGTGAGTTCGAAATTCATTTTTAGCCGGTGGTCAGTAACTCTGTTGTCCTTTTTGAATGCAATAAAAAAGTTATAAGCTCCCAGAAATATCTCTAATTTCAAAAAAAAAAAAATCAACAATATAGAACATGTCATTAGATTATTCAAAATGATACTAGTTTTATAAAACGATACTACACTTACATCTTATTCATACCATTGTTCTATACAAACTGATGTGACAAAATTATGAGATTGTTGTAACCTCTTTCAAGCAACAAGTCCATTTACATGCTGACACCAACAGTGTCAATACTAACAGTTGAATGCTTTATTGATACTGAAATACAAGCAGAGAATTTTATTTGAAACTCGGTGCTGAGATATATATTCTCCACAGCACCAGTCATTTCTTGCCTTATCTCCCTTCCTAACCAACCAATCCATTCAATTCCTTTTACCTTCAGAGAGGTATATTAAGGTCTGTAAATTTTCAAAAGTCCAGAGGTACCCCAACACTAAGCTCAAGGCAAAAGCAGTATCATGAACGTACCTTGTAATTGTATGTTCGTATCTTTTCTGCACGAGCACCAGTACCAACCTGCATTGACAAAAGTATCATGAGGCCCCTAATTCAAGGACATTTAAACAAGTACATGTTTAAAAGAATGCAGTCATATAGATCAAATCAATATATTCCCATGCAAACACATTAGATTGATCAAATCATGCAATGGAATAAAATATTGAAGGATTTGCAAGTTGACATGCTAAGCATTGTGCCTGTATGATGTTGGAAGCTTGCATGCATCTTAAAACACATCTGAACACAAACATACCTGCAACTTCCGTTGGTTCCTTATCCTCTCCTGTTGTTCCCTTACTTTAATCTCATACCTGTGACAAGGAGACGAGTGATCAAAACTTACCAGAATAGTTGATATGAGTATATGAAATTGGGGGGGCGAATTAACTACACATCTTAGTGCATTAATGCATCTAATAAACACGGGAGAAAAAGTACATGAAAAACTACATAAACAATTTCAATATACTTTCGTCCAGGAAAAAAACTCAAGAAAGTTTAATTATCTTCCTTGTTCATAGACCAGTCTTAAGTTTAATTATCTTCCTTGTTCATAGACCAGTCTTAAGAAAAAATAGGCATCATCAAATATTAGGAGAATGAATTCAAATAAAGTTTAAGGAAAAGGAACTTATTCAAAACATAAATTACTAATAAAAAAATAGAAGATAAATAAAGAAGTCAATGCTCACAATTTTGCTCGGAGCAGCTGAAGAGCACGATTCTTGTTCTGAATTTGAGTCCTTTCTTCAGTACAAAAGATGCGGATTCCCGTTGGTTTGTGGACAAGATCGACAGCTGTCTCAACCTTGTTGACATTCTGTCCTGCATGACAGTCATGTACAATAGATGACTTATAGAGGGTTTCTCAACTCCTGGCAAAATTGACGGACTGTGACTTGATTCATTTAGTGAAGACTAAATTTCAACATTTGCTATTTATACCTCCCGCGCCACCAGACCTTGCTGTTGTAAGTTCTATGTCTTTTGGGTCAATTTCCACCTCAACTTCGTCAGCCTAAAAAACAGATAAGAGTATTAAGCAAATATTAACTAAATTATTTAGAAAAATAAAATAAAACCTAAATCAAGAGTATATATACATACACACACATATACGCAACCACAATCTACATATGAGGAATTGAGGTGATGTATCAATGCAATTCATGGATCAAGTTCCATATAATTGGAATCTACCAAGAAAATTTTCAAATAGAAACCACATCCCAAGAGAAGACATTAAGATTCTAAGGAAGCTCTAATACTGCATTTTTCAGTCCATGACCCCACATGACACCCAAGTTGAAGCCAGCATGGCCTAAGTCCATTTTCACATACAACAGAAACAACATTGACATGAATATCCTTTCAAAACCCGAATGTAACTCAGGCATCTACCTCAGGCATGATGGCCACAGTTGCAGTAGAGGTGTGGACACGACCCTGAGCTTCTGTTTGAGGCACTCGTTGAACCCGGTGAACACCAGACTCATATTTTAATTTGCTGTAGACACGATTCCCTTTGATCTCCATCACAACAGTTTTGAATCCTCCTTTTTCAGCCTTAAAAATTTAATAAAATCAGACCAGTCAAATTAAAACCATGCAATGTAGTTGCCAGTACATTAATAAGAGAACTGACAACAGGCATTTTTGAACTTTTACGTAAAGTTCCTTACTAAGGGCAAGCACAGCATTTGCAATATGAGCTACCATATCATTAAATGATTTATTTGAAGAAAAAAATATCTGAACAATTTAATGACACATACCTCAGAGCTTGAGACTAGGGCACACTTCCAAGAATTCCGTTCACTAAACTTTTGATACATTCGGACCTTTACAATGAAAAGAAGATATATAAGGTGCATTAGGGTATGTTCAAAAGAAAATTCAAAAGTATGTCTTCATTAACCAGAAATTGATATCCAGCCAAAGTTGAGAATTTTCCATTTTAGAGGGAAAGCATTAAAGATAAACAAATATAACACAGTGCATCTGAGTAACTTGAATTTTACAGGAATAAATAAGAAATCAAAATGCAATGCCTAGCCTTAACTTCGTCAACAAGGTTGTAATCCATTCACTTTAGACCAACGATGGCTTGATTTTTCTTAATAACACCAGTAAATGATATAATACAATTACATGGCTTCGATTCAACTTCAATCAGACGCAAAATGTGAAAAGCTAGAATACCTATTTGATAAGACCTCAAGTGTTCCCAACTGAGAAAGTTAGCTGACATGGCTCTGAGAAAAAAGATATTTCTGACTATTTCCACGTATGATTCAAGAAACAGTGTCCAGAAAATATTTTGGTCCTATGTATTTACAAGCCAATCCTGATTAAGGGTCAGAGCAAGCACCTATTATATGCTTCAATTTTATTATTTTTTTATCCACCTTGAGAGAAGAAAGAAAAGATCACTATGTTTACATGCCACAGATTTTGAAGGACAAAAATAACATGTACCTACAAGATCACCAGCCCATAATCCAGCCTCATCACCACCAGTACCAGCTCTTACTGCAAAAGAGAATGAAATGTACAGATTTTTATGCTAGAATGAAGCAGAATAAACAATAGAAAAAGACAGGAAATTATGCAAAGGACATTTCTTCATCATATCAACAGCGTTGAGCAAAGTCTATATTTCAATAAACAACTACACAGTGTCCAATCATCCTAAACAAAATATCGTAAAGAGGGGAGTATAACTCTCTTTTTTTTTTTCAGATGTTCCAAGAAATTCGCAAACAAAAACAAGAAAAGGGACAAGCAGACATGTGCTCCATTTAAATTTGATTTTATAATATTTTCCATTTCTTTTGCTTGCTGATGGCCCATCTAATCACTCAACATACTCCCCAGATCTCTTTAAATGTGAGGATAGCATTGACGAAAATGCATCTATGTAACCCTTGGTAATCTTAAAAGAGAAATATTCAAGTGAGTCATAAAAGCTTTTAATAGATAAAGAATGAGACCATCACTTCCTTTACATGATTAAAAAAAAAAAAAAAAACTCAGATCAAATACATGGTAAGAAACACTGAAGAAAAATGGGTGTTACCTTCAAGCATTATGTTTCTTGAATCAAGAGGGTCAGTGGGAAGTAGTAGTACCTATCACCATATGCAATATCAGTGATATATGAATACGATTGGGACAAAATCAAAGATGGCATAACTAGAAAAGCAATCCAAATTAAACTAAGCAAAGGAATTAATGATAAGGACAACAAAAGTGGATAACTGTTTCACTATGAAACTCAACATTGAAAATGCCCATTGAATGAAGAACTTAAAAAAAGACATCTGAGTTGGACTAATCTATGAGCATCAATATTTATCCACCCTAATTCAAGTGGCAACAGAGCAAGATAGATCAAGTAAATTAAACATCACCTAAAACACAGAAGAAGAATAACAAAAACAAAGCACCAAATTGATATATGAACCAACAAATCATTTGG